CGTCAGGGGGAAGTTCTTTATAGAGAGAGTGGTGAGGTGCTGGAACAGGCTGCCCAGAGAGGCTGTGGATGTCCCTGGAAGTTTTCAAAGCCAGGTTGGATGGGGCCCTGGGCAGCCTGGTCTAGTATTAAATGTGGAGGTTGGTGGCCCTGCATGTGGCAGAGGGGTTGGAGCTTCATAATCCTTGAGGTTCCTTCCAACCCTGACCATTCTGTGATTTGCTTCTAAAAGTACTCATTGATTTATTCTTTACCTCTTCCCTGAGAAGACAGTTGGATGAAAAGAGTATTCCTAGCCTGCTATCACAGCGCTCCACACAAAAGAGAGATGCTTCTCCCACTTCAGCTTAGTAATGACAGCAAAGCTTTCAAAGCCAAGAGCCGCTGTTGAGAAGAAAGAGCTCAGTCATTTATCACAGCACGTACCTGGTGTGCGTTGGTTGGCACCGTGGCTGCTGCCCGTGAGAGCAGCAGATGGCTGCAACTGTGCAAACCTCACAGAAGGTTTGTGAGAATGCATTCTCTGAGGCGTCCTGTTACGAGTTGTCATCTGGTGACATCCGCGGGGCGTCTCGGGAAGCTGGGCTGCTGCTGGTGAGCCTGCTGCTTTGTGACACATCAACTTGTTAAGGTCAGTGGTCTCCAAGGAAATGTCCCAAAGTTCAAGATCATCTAGAATGAATGAAAAGATAATGGGACCAAAGACGATGGCACTACAGGAACAAGAGTAACTCCAGGACCAGCCTGCCCTTTTCCTATTGTAGTGGCCACTATAGAAGTTAAACTGTAAAGTATCTTTTATGTCAGTGCACAAGCAGAAAACAGCACTATGCCCTGTGCTCTGAACTTCAGCAAGGTCCATGTGCTGTGCTGTGTGACCCAAACAGCTGTAGCTGTGTTAAGAAAAGGCACTTCCCCCCCTTCCATGTTCTATTTTTGTGAAACGTCACCAGAAGAGAAGAGATTGCCAAATATGTCTAACAGTGCTCTACTGAAAGGCATGGTGTAAAACTTCTCATACTGATGGACATCTCATCTCTTGCACATCTTAACATTTTTTTCCTGCCATTCAAGCAAGGTTAGTACAGCTAAGGTCAGACTCACACTTTTACTCCAACCTCTTCACAACTTTTACCCTTACACGTTGAAGAATTAATCTAAATACCAATAATTTAACATGCTGCTATTCATTATTCTTGGCTGACCTGCAAAGAACTCTTCTTCGATTGCCAGTTCCTGTTGTACTGCTGCTGGAGTGCTGTGTTTCACAGGAGGGTTGGCTGTTTCTGGACAGAGGTAACACAAGAAGAGATTAAAGTTTGAAATACAGAAAAACTCTTCTGTTCCTCCTTAGCAGACAGACTATGAGTATGAAGTGATTGCACCCAGGTACCCTTTTTTCCCACAGCTGCTTGGATTTTGGAAGTGGTATATATAGAATAACATGGATGCTGCTGATGACTAGCAATTGCAATACTATAAACTCTTTTACCCCACCCCCAAGTTCCTGCTCACCACACATCTGTCCAGACTTCCCCATGAGTGAAAAGTAACCTACCAGCAGCTAATGCAATTCTGCTTGCCTGCAGCCACCTCAGTGGAGTGCTGCAGCCTCAGCCCTGACGCAGAAAAGTAATGATATAGATGGCAGTGGCTGTGCTGCACGAAGCTTTAGTGTGGCTGGAAAGTTGCAGATTTAATGATGTGGTTTTAGAGCCGCTTTAAGAATGCGTAGGGACAGAAGTATGAGGATCTTCCTTTCTTTGGTCTCAAAGGAGTGTGATAGCACAGTATAAAACAAAAGACCAGGCTCCCGTACTGAGAGTAACGCATGTCTGCCAGTGGCTATCATTTAAACTGTCAGCTTCTAATGCCCCACCTTACCCTGTTTGCTGCTGGGAGTAACTTCTGTGACCTGACGTCTCTTCTCCATCTGTTCCCGGAACTGCTGCTGTAGCTGCTTTTGTCGCAGTTTCCGCTGGTACGTGGCATCACACTCAGTAGCTGGGGAATCTGTATTTCTGCCACAGCCCCAGGTAAAGACAAAGTTAAAACGGGAGTTCAGCAACTACATTTTATGAAGAAACATTCATGCTATAATAACTGCAAGAAAAATCCTCTAAACTAGTATTGTATGGCATCTTCCAATTTGGACTGTCCACATGCTTCAAAGGGGACAGCAACTTCTAACATACCCGGAGCTGCTTGGCTGCTTCTGATCTGTCATTCCAGAAGCCTCTGTGTGACTGGGCCTACAAGTTGGTGCCATTTCATACTGTTGCCTCCATCCTGGGTTCTGCCTTTCCAGACAGCCATCATACCTTGCTTTCTCTATTTCGGGTTCATAGTCCTGTCTTTTAGTTTTTGCCAGATCCAACTCGGGGGGCATCTAGGAAAGGGAAAAAAGAAAACACCTTCAGAAATTTCCTTCATGAAATATGCACAGGTCTTTTCTACGTGGCACTGTTAGAAAATCTCGTTTGTTTGCTCTAGGTAGAGAAGTAAGTTTAGAAACTAAAATGCGTTTTAGTTTATCTAGTTTATCACTTTGTGCCAGTTCAGTAGTTGAGTTCTTTAGGGAAGATATCCTGTGTCTCTCCATACTGTGCGCGGTGATTTTACAAATGTCTGGCTGTGAGGCAGTAGATGACCTTGGCAAAGCAGAGATCTCTGTCATCTTCACTTGGTGAGGTGTCCCTTTGGAACAGTTCCTCCAACCTCGTAAACTAGCCAGAGCCATGTTAGAGCTCCAAGCTGACTAGCAGAGTTGAGTAAATCCTGATAGATGAAGGCAACTTTCCTGTGGAACAACATGGATCAGCAGATGTAAAAGGCTCACTTTTTCCCCAGTGTGCAAGGTAAGTTACTGCCTAGCAGCCTACTGCCCCCAGCTGGCACACATCAGGAGCTAACAAGATTAATGCTGACCAACAGCTGGGGCACCTTTAGTGCTACAAAGACTGCTGTGTTACATCAAAGTGTACTTTGTGAGAGCTCTGAAAGAACAGGCTTACAGCACTGTTGTTACCAGTGGGATGTGCAGCACAATTTCTTGTCTCTTTCTGGACCAGAGACCTCCAAAAGAGACATTTCTGCACAGTGCTCATTAACTCTGAAGGTTCACTGTTTGAACCTAGGACTTCAGAGGGAAAAGTAACTGCAGCTCTCCCTTGCATGGTGGAACCTAAAGCTAAGCCTAAAGGACCCTGAGAAGCAAGGCAAGGAGCAACGTGGCCTATTTCTGTTCAGTAATGGAAAGAACTGTAGTGATGACAGGAAAAGTGTTTAAGTACACATCAGCAGTACAAACTAACTCTTCATATATTCAAGAGCCTGCTCTCATTGTACAGTTGCAAATTTCAGGTACCAACACATTTTGCAGCCAAGCAGAGGATGTTTGCAGGTCCTCTTGGTTGCTCCTCATGTAGCAAAAGAACAGAATAACATCACCTCTTTTGCTTTTCTGGGGGAGGGGAGCGGGGGCAGGCAACAGCCATAACTTTTTTGGGTTCAATCTAAAAGCTTAGATTCCTCTTTTGTAATACAGATGCATCTAACATACTGCAATGTTCTTTTGGGAAGGATCCAAGTGGCTTAACTGAAAGCTGATATCACCTTTTGAACTTTTCTTTAGACCTCAGTACAAAAACATTGTTATAAAATACCTACCCAGTATCTATTCACAGAATCACAGAATTGCCAGGGTTGGAAGGGACCTCAAGGATCATGAATCTCCAACCCCTCTGCAACATGGAGGGCCACCAACCTTCCCACCTAATGTTAGACCAGGCTGCCCAGGGCCCCATCTAATCTAGCCTTGAACACCTCCAGGGACACCCCCAGGCATCCACAACTTCTCTGGGCAGCCTGTTCCAGCACCTCACCACTCTCTCTGTAAAGAATTTTCCCCTGACGTCCAACCTAAATCTCCCCTCCCTCAACTTAAAACTGTTTCCCCTCATCCTACAGTTATCAACCCTTTCAAAGAGTTGATTCCCCTCCTCTTTGTAGGCTCCATTTATGTACTGAAAGGCTGCAATGAAGTCACCCTGCAGCCTTCTTTTCTCCAGGCTGAAGAAGCCCAGCTCCTTCAGCCTGTCCTCATAGGGGAGGTGCTCCAGTCCCCTGATCATCTTTGTGGCCCTCCTCTGGACCCTCTCCCACAGTTCCCTGTCTTTTTTGTACTGTGGGCTCCAGGCTCTTGGACGCAGTACTCCAGTACTATTCTAAAAAGAACAATGGACAGATCTCTGAGGGGTGAAATAGAGGCACAGTGTAAACCTTATTAGAAAGACCAGGCTGAGAATAGTGTAGCTGGTAATGCGTGTGAGGCTTTGTAGAGTTCAAATGCTGATTTGTAAAAGGAAAGCAACTATCAGTGCACACAGTGATATTGTTACCGTATGGATTTTACTTATTCTTAAGTTCTAACTACAGCAGACAGCTCTGGGATGTGATCCATTTAGTATTGTTTCCAGGACATGCTGGGCTATGCATATTAAACTTTATTGGAAGAGGTTTTTCTCACAGAAAAACACCTTGTTTTCTGCCAGAGCTTCCTAAAATATACAGAAACTTCCTCCTGCTGCCCAGTATGTCTAGCCTTGGCTTCCAGCTTGAGTGTTCAGGACTATATGAAATGGTCTCAATTTCACAGAACGTATAGAAAATAGCATTTAGAAAAAGCAGTTAATCTTCCTGGTGTAGCATTTAACCTCTTATGAGCACAGATGTAACTGCACACATTGCTAGCACTGAATAAAAAGACTTGGCTTTGGGTTGTGGATGCCCTGTCCCTGGAGGTGTTCAAGGCCAGGTTGCATGGGGCCCTGAACAACCTGGTCTAGTATTAAATATGGAGGTCGGTGACCCTGCATGTGGCAAGGGGTTGGAGATTGATGATCCTTGAGGTCCCTTCCAACCCTGGCCATTCTGTGATTTTGTGAAGACACTAAATGTCACACGGCATCTTGAGTAGCATACTGTTTCTTCAGCCTTCTCACCACAGTAAGCTTGCCTACTGAAAATAGTTAGACTTTAGAATAGTTGTAGTAAAGTGCTGGGGAAGAACTCAGTAACGGACAGCTCGTGCAATCAAACTAGCAGGCAAATGCTACAGGTCTGATAGCTGGAAATATTCGGGGCTAAGATGCATCTGTATCATTATTTACATTCCTTTTAACATGAAGGATCAGGAACAATCAACATCTAGAAGTCCCTGCTCTGAAACACCACATACTGTACCTGACGTGGAAGCTTATTAACTGCTTGTAGGTAGTCTTTGTCTAGGATACAGTTCCCAAGAGCATTCCCAAAGCACCTGAGAAACAAGGAGAGCTCATTGTGGCTGAAAATAACAGCTCCCAATTCACTTCTGAGAATGTGCAAGTACTGATCTTCACTTACTTGAGTGCCCTCTTCAGTCCATCTGTTACTGCCTCCTTTCTTGCCTTTTCTAAGGACAAGGCCTTGGACTTCAAGCCTTCACTGACTCCATAGCCCACATCTTCATGGTATGAGCCATCCTGCAGTAAGATTTTAAAAGCATTAAGTATAAGGGAAACTTTGCACATAAAGCATCCATTGCTAGACGTTGTGCTTTCCTAAGCCTGCTTACTCATCCTTAGCTGGATGTTTTGTAGCAAGGTAAACGTTTTGGACTTCACTATGTTCTCTGTTGTAGTGCTTCACTCCCGAAAACAACAGTCTGACCTATGTACTTTCATTCCCAGCTTTAAGTAATTGCTCAGCTACAGACAGAGCAAACAAAAAACCCACTTACCTTAAGCTGGACTCTCACGAATGCACAGACCCCCACATAGAACCTGCCGTTGTTGAGATCAACAAAGTCTGAGGGAAAAAAAAAGTAGCATCCTAAATAACACAAAAGACTTCTGATCCACATGTAGATCTCAATTTGCTTCCTTTGGATATTCATAAACCTGTAGCGCAGTTGCTGAATGGGCCCAAGACACTGTCACTGTATTTTCTACAACATGGAGCATGACTTATAAAATATTACTTGCCATCCAAGAATGATATCTTGTACATATGCTCTGGGTATGCTACATTTTCTGGTTATCAGAAAATGTGTAGGTCTGCCAAACACTTCTGCTCTGGTATCATGTGTATAAAAACATTATTTAATATATGTTTACATCTGTTTTTTTCTTATATATGAAAGAAATTAAAGTTGTAAGCATCACTCCTCAATAATCAATCCTCCTTCAAATACATATCTTAGATTTTCAAAGAGTAACAGTTCTTTTTCAGCTGGAAGATTTAAAGTATCAATTTATAAAAACAACAATGGAAAAGAACCTTAACTGTCTATAAAAGCAATTTGTTTCCTATTATTTATTAGAAGCTTCTCATATGGGAAACGTTGCACAAGGCTTTATCCATGACTCTAAGTCCAGAACCTCTAAACAACCACTGGCAGTCTTACAAGTCTGACAGAATCACAGAATGGCCAGGGTTGGAAGGGACCTCAAGGATCATGAATCTCTAACCCCCCTGCTACATGAAGGGCCACCAACCTCCCCATTTAATGCTAGACCAGGCTGCCCAGGGCCCCATTCAACCTGGCCTTGAACACCTCCAGGGATGGATGGGGCATCCACAACTTCTCTGGGCAGCCTGTTCCAGCACCTCACCACTCTCTTGGTAAAGAACTTCCCCCTGACATCCAACCTAAATCCCCCCTCCCTCAACTTAAAACCATTTCCCCTTGTCCTGCTGTTATCTAACCTTTCAAAGAGTTGACTCCCCTCCTGTTTGTAGGCTCCCTTTAGGTACTGAAAGGCTGCAATGAGGTCACCCTGCTGCCTTCTTCTTTCCAGGCTGGACAAGCCCAGCTCCCTCAGCCTGACACATAGCTGACATGAAATGCTTTGTAGTTCAAGAAACTGTACAATGATGTCCAAAAGTTCCATCCTCGTCTGGTCCACTTGTTCAATAGTTTTGTAAAGCTGCCAGATGTGTAATCCTTTTTCAACCCAGGATTTAAAAAAAAAGCAGTATAATAATCCTCTGTCTCTGAACTGCTAAAGCAGAACTTTTTACAGGATCATTTGAGAGATTTTTCCTTCAAGTCATCATGGTGAAAAATGTGGACAGGCTTTTTTTATGCCAATCTGATACTTACCAACATTCTGTTGAGTGACTGAATGAGCCCAGCCATTGAAGCCAAACATCTCATTGGCCAGACTGATTACCTTGTGACCCTCAATATAGCAGACCTGAAAACAGAAACATATGTATATGTATATACACACATACACTCTTTATTTTAAAGAAAGATTACATAGATATCTTACTCTGAGGAAACCTGTCTAAATTCAAGATAATTGAATGATGATGCAGATTTAGGTTCACCATCTTCTGGACACTGTAATGGGGAGAACTGAACAAATATGCCAGAATTAAGGGGAGCAGAGCTAGCAGGCACTAAATAAGTAAAACTGCAGCTAGTGTTACATAATGACTCATATACTTCAGTTCTAGAAAAAAAAGAAAAACATCTCAATGTTCCATGAGGAGGATGAAGCACTGAAAAGTTAACTGGCTTTTCCATAGGAATGTAAGGATTCTGTGGCTAAGATAAAGCCAGAATACATGCTGGCCTAGTTTTCCTTTCATATTTGCTGATTACACTTCAGTGGGAAATATTCAAAATTAAGGATTATTATTGTTATTATTTTAATAATAATTCTTCTGGAAAAAAAATGCAAGTTGAACATCTATGCATGTTTATTCATACCTTTTGTCCTCCTCCAGCTTGCCGACTGCTGATATACTCTGGACCCAGTTTCTGACGAAGAGCATGCTGGATGGCTTGATATTCATTTGCTGTGTATTGATACTTGATGGAAACAAAGTAAGACAAAGTTTCTCATTCTCTCCCTATTAGCTATCCCTCTTCTCCTAATACTACTTCATTTTCCTTGTCCTTTCAAGGGATACATGGTCCATTTTTAGAATCAAAATATAACTAACAAAGAGAGACCCTGGGGCACGTGTACACATTTTTGCACTATATTGGTTTTTTTCGTACTCTTGAGGTCATACACAGATCATCTTGAGTGCAATAACATGGCATGTACAGGACAACCAGGCTATCAGGTCCAGCCAGCATGAGTTCGTGAGAGGCAGGCAGGTCCTGCCTGACCAACCTTATCTCCTTCTATGAACAAGTGACCCACTTGGTGGATGAGGGAAAGGCTGTTGACATAGTCAAGCTAGACTTCAGCAAAGCCTAGACTTCAGAAAAGCCTTTTCCTGTCATCAAATGACTCTAGCCTAACTGTATCCAACTTTAAAATGAGCAAATATGCAGAGCAGATTTCCAGCAGTGCAAGTATGGAACTTCTATTCCTCAGGCAAAGGGAACTGACCTGTCCGAAGCAAGCAACTGAACTGCTGGTGCTGGTACTGCTGCTGCTGACATGGCTTTCACTGTCCTTTCCTTGCCTTGCAGGCATCCCTAAAGACAAAAGAAAATACAATTATTGAAAATAAGAGTCAACTATCCATAAGAAAACACATCAAAAAAGTCCACTGCACGCTAAGTATAGCAATGTACTGCAATATATTGAATAATACAGTAATACCAATCATACTTCTGTGCATATTTCTGTGAAACTGCTGCAGGACCAGTTGGAAATTTGTTTTCTGATGCTGTTTCATAGCAATTAAAATTCTTCTTAAAAACCTACTGTGTAGTAGTCAGAAATAGACAGAAATGACTAGCTTCATCCTAAAGGCAGAGGCACAACACAAATGTGTTGTGAGTCATTATTCTAAATATTAAGAGGGTAAAGATGATTTGTTTTTATTCCTTTTAGATGACCATGAATGCATTGTACCGCTTTAGGTAAGGAAAAAAAACACCTCAGTTTTTCAGATTCCCCAGCACTGTCTTCCTACATCACCTTCCAAATCCATTAATACTTTGATTAAAAGCAGAAAGAAATTTCTAAAATTGTACTTGTCTATAACCTGACTTATCCATCTTCATTTTAGATTACTGACTTCAATTATCGACTGCCTTGGGTTATGATGGCATCACACAAACCACGCAGAGCTGGAAAACATACAGAACCTCTAACAATGTGAAGAAGTTGTGCCAACAATTCAGTAGATGGCACCCTTTTCCAAGCCAGTACCCTACAACTACCCGATGGTAACCGTGCTACCACTCTGCTGTGCTGCTGGAGAAGTGGTTGTTCTGTTGAGTGCCTATACGACAGGAGCACGAGGGAGCCTCAGCAACACATCTACAGAAGCCCACAGAGGCAATCTTTTACTGTATTTGCACAAATACTGAGTGCAAATGCTTTTAGCCCATCAGTCTATAAGTCTTCCATATGCAACACAAGGGAAGTCAACGTGCAGTGTATGTCAATGAGACACCTGGGGATATTAAAACAGATACAAAAGATTTAAAATCTTCCAGACAGTGATATGTGATAGGCAGCAGGAGCCCGGCTAGTATTACTTCTTGCTCCTGTACTTCATGTTCAGATTTTTTGAAAGAAGTTGTTTTTCTAGTCTCTAAACAAGGAAGTCAAAGTATTACTAAGGACTTGCTAAAGACATCTCAGAAAAGGGATACTAGCTGTACCCCTGGCAAATACAAACACTGATAACTATGTCAGGTGTAGCTAGAATTCTCTTTTTGTTGGCAATCATTATTTACCTTCTGTTCAGAAGCTGTATAATTGCACAGATCTTGTACATTCAAAAGTGTTTCAATCAAAAGTTAGCTGCAATTTATGGTAAATACATTTGGTTTCAGAAGAGAATGTGTAGAAGTTAATATTACTAGGAGATGTGCACATGGTTTAAGAAAGTTACTGCCCTTTTTGAGCAAAGAGTCCTTTGCATCCTGAGGGAAACACTTAGAAAGAAATAAAAAAATAGTATCTGTGGTGAGTGGTGGAGGGAAACAAAGTTTGGACAATACTATATGTATATTTTCACTCTATGCAGACTAAATCAGATCTTAATCAGTATAAAGCCCTTGGAGGGAAAAGGCAATACAAGAAATGTGTGCATTTGCTCTGCGAGCAGGAGGCCAAGAATCTACACACACAGCAGGTGGGTGGTGTTCTGAAGGAAAACTGCTTTAACCAAAACCACTATTAACCCTTTGAAGTTTTTACAAGGTGTGCACCATTGTCAGCCTACATTCTATACAGATACACCTTGAATGAAACTGACTAAAGTATGGGTGTCAATTCTGAACAAGAATGAGGAAGTGCAGAATTCTGCTAAAAACAGCATCACATCATATGGTTTTAATCTAATGGAGAGATTTCAGTAGAATCTCTCAGATAAAATATGTCCATAGCCTGTATTTAAGTTATTATTTATTCTACAGCTTATGTAAATGAGATGGATGATGCTAGTTTAATTCCAGGCCTTGCTCACACCAACAGTTTGCTTCAGCCATGGTTCTTATTTAAACCAAATGTTCAACAGAACAATGTGATTTCTTTAATCAATTTGCTGAAATGCAGCACAGTGAGGCCCTATGTCTCCAAGCAGCTCTCAGAGCATTTCAAAGTGATGGGGCTGGAGCACCTCTCCCATGAAGAAAGGTTGAGGGAACGGGGCTTGGAGAAGAGAAGGCCTCGGGGAGACCTCACTGTGGTCTTCCAGTACTTGAAGGGAGCATATAAACAGGAAGGGGGTATGTCTGTTTATGAAGGTGGGTAGTGATAGGACAAGGAGGAACGGTTTTAAACTGAGACAGGGGAGACTTAGGTTAGATATTAGGAGGAAGTTTTTCACTCAGAGGGTGACACACACTGGAACAGGTTGCCCAAGGAGCTTGTGGATGCCCCATCCCAGGAGGCATTCAAGGCCAGGCTGGATGTGGCTCTGGGCAGCCTGGTCTGGTGGCTGGCGACCCTGCACATAGCAGGGGGTTGGAACTAGATGATCTCTGTGGTCCTTTTCAACCCAGGCCATTCTATGATTCTATGAACTTCAATTTCGAGATCAGTAGAGCAGAAGTCCTGAAGTTAATTCTGCAAATGGAATTCTAAATCTCCCTTAACACAGAACCAGGAGCTTGGGAAGGCAAGGCTTCCACTCCTCAGCAGAATGCTGGTTCCTCGCTCACTCTCTTAACTCATCTCAAACATTAACCCTGGGATAGATAATAATAATCAGCTATTGGCTAGAGAAGAGCCAAAGGACAGTGCTCGGACAGTACAGGACACATAAATTAGCACTAAAAATGCCTTACTCTCAAACTATCTTCAAATGCTAAAAGTTCAAGTTCTGTATAGAGGATGGTAAAAGCAGTTTACCATCAGACAACCAGAAATTACTATTTACTACATTTGTGACCGTGATCGTTATTATTTATCATCTACACGGAATTACTGTCACTGCAACCACTAATGTTCTCAGGTTTCTCTGGGCAGCCTGTGCCAGGCCTGCACTGCCCACTGATGTTGCACTTTCAGACTGCACTATTCAACCTCGTCCTTCTCTACACGGTATGCTTTCGTCCCAGCGAAGCTATGTTCTGCTAAGCACAAATCTTTCACTAAATGCAGCTCCTCAAAGCGCCCCAAGAGCAAACAGCCAAGCACGGCAGATTGACTAAGCACAACAAATGATGCTGCCTGGGTAACTTAAGGTTCCGATCCCCCTAACACACACACACACACACACACAAATAGAGTGAACTCGAAATGCATATATATGTTTCTGTGGAGCATTCTTTCGTCTGGGGACGCTAAACTATTCTGTAAGCCGAATAATTTGCTGTGCGAAAGTTGCTTCATCCAGCACGGAGATGGAGCGAACACCCTGAAAGCCTAACGGTCTGCATGGTGAAAAGCGGCCATGTCATTCCCCGTGTTCTGACTCGTGCAGATACCCGGCCGGGGTCGCTGAGGTGACAGCCCGTTTCCCGGCCCCGCCAACGGCCGCCCCGCGCGCGGCCCCGCCGGAAGTGGCTGAGGACACCGTACCTGAGTCAGGCCGGGCCGCGCGCCTCCCGCCGCCGCCGCCGCCGTTCGCAGCTCCCGCGCGTGCAGGAGGGGCGACGGGGGCGGGCGCGGCTACGGCGAGACAGAGGGGACAAACTTCCCGCGGGCGGACACGGAGGGGAGGGCAGGGGAGGCCGGCCGGGGGAGGCGGGGCGCCGCGCGGCCGCGAGGGGACGGCGGGGCGGGAGGGAGAGGCGGAGGCGACCGAGCTCGGCGCGGCGCTGACGGGCAGGTGAGGGGCCCCGCTGGGCGCGGGGGGCCGCGGGAGGGGGGCAGCGCCGCTCGCCGGCCGCTGGGGGGAGCCAGGCGCGGGGCGGGGCCTGCGGGAGCCGGTAGCTGCGGGCGGCCGCCGGGCTGGGCAGGGGCTGCGGCGGGGCCTGGTGGCCGGCGGGCGCCGCTCAGGTGGGTCCGGTCCCCTCCCGGGACGCTGCGGGGCCTCGGGGCCGGGAGGAGAGCTGGGGAGGAGGCTGAGGGGTGCGGGGCCTCGACGCTCCGCGGGCCTCGAGCGCGCTGTCACCGCCCGGGGCTGTGCTGGGTTGGGTTGGGCTGTGCTGTGCTGGGCGGCGGCACCCCCGGGCCCGGCTGCACCCGCTGCCCGGCCCGGCCGGAGGGGAGCGGGGCGAGTCCCGCCGTGCGGCGGTGGTCGTGCGGTGGCGCTCAGGGAGGGGGCTGGTTCTGGGGCGGCCGCGGGGCTTCGCTCGTCCCCCCTGCGATCGCGTTTGTCCCCGTCCCCCCTCCCTCTACTTGGTCAGCGTGCCCTCGCCAAGCGTCCGCCTTCATTGTCTCGGTGCCATCAGCAAGGTAATGGTGCCGGCCGCCTTTCTGCCCGGAGCGAGCCGTGCTGTGATTTCCGCCCCACCTCTGGGCATGCCGCGTTCATCCCACGGAACCTACTACAGCGCGAGTGTCAGTTGACATCATGCTTTGTTTCTGCATCTGCAGCCATCCTGAAACGTGTGTCGAGAGCTGCTGTCTTTCCACATCTGTCTCGTTCCTGACGCGAACCCTAAACCTCAGCTATGAAGGCTCACAATGCCTTTTGCTTGGAGTGTTACGTGCGAGTTGGAAGCCCGTGTTGTGGTTCGTGCTGATGGGGTGTGAAATGTTCTAGGTGAAACCCTGATGGAAATGGGGAGGTTTAGGAGGCAGGAAAGAAGAAAGAAACGTCTGTGGAGCTAAGGGAGAAGCGGAAGCATAGAAGCTGAGAGAATAAAAGCAGATTCTTAGAAATAGAATGGATGGGGAGAACAGCATATGTTTTACTTATCTTATTGTAGCTCATTCTGGGGGGTGGGGAGGGCATGTAAGGGTAGGTGGGGTGATTGTTGCTGAATAATACGTTGCCTCAAATCCAACAGGTTATAACCAGATAAAGTTGTCCAGTTTGGCTGCAGGGTTCTGATTCTGATAAGATGGCCAACCCAGCTAGGATGTCGGAACAGTAACCTCCACCATCTGCCTGCCCTCCTTTTCTCCCAGAGGGTGCTGCGTCTACAGCAGGAGGTGGTTGAATATACATCTTCTCCTGAGTTCTGCAGCCCACAGCCTGACAGATCACTATGAAGGTTTTGGTATTTTGTGTTTGAGACTGATAAAGCCCCAATCAGTTTGAGACTGATGTGTGCCCCAATTCAGGGTCACATGTGAGTCAGCACCCTTACAGCCATATCAAACAAGATTAGAAGAGAAAAATCACCACCTTGTCCCTGCTGTTGACAGCAGTTTTGGTAAAGCAGTAATCAATTTTTATCAATAATGAGGTTTTGGGATTAAACCACTAATTATTAAGTAAGTGAAATAGCTGTCCTGACTATATTTCAGTTCTGGAAACTGAGCTTCAGTACTTCAGCACAGAACAGCAGTTCCCTGAATAGTCAGGTTTCTGATTTCACTGTATCACCCAGAAATATAGAATTGTCTGAGTCAATCAAGCTGTAAGAGGAGCTGCAGCTAGAAACAGGTTGGGATCTGCTGGCTAAAACATGAGTTTGTCATAATATTTGATATAGCTTGAACTTTTTCCACATTGTCCAGCAAACCAATGTAGCTGTAATGAAATCACTCTGTGGCTGTTAGAAGTTTCTCTTGTTTGGGTTTGTGTTATCTGGGTGATAGAAAAGCATCATGCTTTTTGTAAGTCTGAGGTTTTTGATCTCATTGTTTTGTGAAATTCTGTTTATGTAACTTCACACCTCTAACATTCAGTTAAGATCCTCACCAGCAAAAAAAGAAAAGCAAGTTTGATATTTACATGGCCTGTACCTTGTTACTGAATTGCTAATCTGGATTGTGAAAAAAAAACCTTTTTTTCCTTTAGCTGAGTTTGCTGCATTCTCAGTTCCTGATAAAAGTTATCTGTGTTGCTGTATGAATAGAAATGTTTCACCATGCTATTGTAATGAGCGGGAGAGTTCTTTGCTATTATTCCTAATTTTGTGCAGCGGGAGACTCTCCCAGTGTTACTTTTTCTCCCCTTACCTCTCCCCATTGTCAAACTATTTTGAATCTATTCTCCAAAATGCATCTCTTGCATTGTTTGCTACCTTGGCTAAGCTCTTTGAAAACTTCCAATGGGTCTACAAGGTCTGGCTTGTTTTGTCTGAGCATGGTATAACTGGAACTGTATGGATGCATGAATGCAGCTGTTGAAATAATCAGATCAGTTGCTAGAATTAAGAAATGTGAGTGTTTTCTTGACCCTTCCGAGTTACTTCACTGTAAGTGCACTCAGGTGAGGAGCATTGGTTGAAGAAAAGGGATGTTTGCTACTTCCAATGAAGGAGCACACTTTACATGGAGCAGTGATGTTACCTGTGGTGAACTGAGGCTGTCTGCCTGAGCAGATTCATTAGTGTTTCTATGTACTTCTGGGCTTCTGAAGCACCTTTATCACTCTTAGGGTTGTGTATCTTACTGTTTGTGCTACTGGGAAGTGGTCACATGCTACCAGGGGGAAAGGGAGAAATGGCCATATGTACACTAAGCACACAGCATTGATGGATGGTACTCTAAAAATCAGGCTACAAAGTCTTTAGCCGTTCATTGACAGCAAATTCATGTCTGCAGGTCTTCAATCTTCTGGGTAATTTGAAGAGCAAGAGTTATTTTAATCAGAGCTGTTCTGTTACTAGCACGTTTATATGCATGTTGTGACTTCTGCTTTTTGTTTGCATAAAAGTTAAAACAAAAAAACAAACAAAAAAAAACCACACCAATGTGCCAAATGTTGTTGGTTTGGTCTTGTGTTTGCTTTCCATTTAGAGGCTTACAGTCAGCTCCCATTCATTGCAAATCCTGATGTGCTCACCAAGCCCATGTCTGTGTATCAGTGGACCAGAAAGGACCCTTGGGTCCCACCTACCTCTGCTAAACCCGAATAGTTGATGATTTGAGGATGCAGTTAAGGATGATTCACAATGTATCCATGTGCCTGCCGCCTTGTAACAAAGTCAGTGCTGCTGGAGGACAGCATAGAGCTCCGCCAGAGAATTGGTGCTTCGGTGCTGTCCAACACTTGGGCTGAGCTTGTGAAACCATGAAGTGTGGTATCCAGATAGTCTTAAGAAATATGTGCCCCACTCTTCCAGGGAAACCAAAACGTTTCTAGTGGTGCACAGCAAACCAACAAAGGGGAAGAACTTGTTCATGCACCCAAATTTATTGACAGATTAAGTCTTAGCATGTTGTAGTCTGGAAAATGAGATGGCCTTTAGAAATGTCAGTAGCGCCTTACATTCCCTTTCTAACTGAGGCTAAACACTGGAACTTT